GGGTGGATGGTATTATTGTTTCCACTCAACAAAGATTAAAATGTCTAAATTAAATTTTTGCTTTTATTTTGTTATTTATAGTGTATGCAGAATCTTAGGAAAACATTTTCAAAACACTTTTTTATGAACCTGATTATATATTATATACTAAAGAAATTTTTGTGAACAAAACAATGTTACATTAAGATTATTTACAGCATTTCTTGATTGCTGTGAAAACGAGTTAGCCCCATTTACATGTACATAAAAGTCGGGTCACCTTAGAGTTAGGGCAAACAGTCTATTTCTCTCATGTGAAAGAAAAGACTTGTTGCCGACACTATAGATACACACCCTCAGAAATACACTTCTCTGTATTTACAGGCTCATTTGTGCGGATCAGATTGTATGGATGTAAAACCATAATAACTGCAAAGTATGGAACTATTATATATCCAGTACAGTGCGTGTCAATACTGAAATGTCCACAGCATAACCATGAATATAAAATACTTTAGCGTCCTCACTCATGAAATTTGCTCATTGTATTTATGGTCAAACAAGACCTAAAACCTAACACGAGGACATATGGAGGCCTTCATTTCTTGTTATTTGTTTCAAAAAGGCATTGTAATGGTATGGAAGACGTTATCTGTCATACAGATTCAGTCCTTTGTGGCGGTAATTTGAATTCAGCAAAAAAGACAAAATCCATATACATTGTTTCCTATGTCCTCTTTGAATGCCCACTTCGTTGTAGAGTACAGTACAAGCTATCCAGATATTTCCACTTTAAAGGAATTAGTACTTGTCTTACTCATCTTCATCATYATCATTATCAATGTCATCATCATYYTTAGATTTTTCTTCTGACAAGCCAGTAACRATACTCCATGGACTGTTTTCCTCTCCACCTGCCATCCCCTTGAATGAGAGTAGTTCCTCATCTAGTAAGTCTTCATCCTCAATTTCAAAGTCATCTTCATATCTGCATGAAACAAAGCCATTAGATGTAATTTTGAGCAATATTTTCTTTTAGAATCTGTTTRACTACTAAGCTCCCAATGTGTTGCACCTTTACTACTGGCATCCAGTGGTCAGTATCTTACCCTGGACACATGCCATTCTACTTAAGAAAAGGTGTTTGTTGGAAAATTCATCAAGAGTGGAATATTAATAATAATAATAATAATAATAATAATAATAATAATAATATAATAATAAATTCTTATATAGCGCACTAAACTGACGTCTCAGTGGCTAGGTGACACAAAATAAAAGAAATATAGGGGAAAAAACTTAAAGCATGACATTATGTAGAAATTAAAATATAAAATATCACTAGTGTTCATAATAGAAAAAATTAAATTGAAAATAAATGGTTTGATTCCTTTACTCTGCATCACATGTGAGTAGTGTTGGTTATTCTCCTTCCTGATTCAATGGCTTTTTTCTATGGGTTGTCTATTTTTCTCCCTCAACAAAACGTAAAAAGGTAGATGTTCAAAWTCAATCTGTGAATTAGCCATTAATGCATGCTAGACTTTGATCATAAACATACCCATCTCCTTGTTCATTGGCTCCTTCTTCTGCGACAAGCAGTTCATACTCTTCTTGTGCATATCGTTCCCAATCAGACTGCTGCGAAGTTTCCCCATCAGTTTCCTATCATAACAAAAGTTTTTTATTTTTATTCATTAAATTATTGAAAACTGTACAGTTTTTTKACAGAACTTTAGAACCATGAAAAATAATGGTAAAAAACACAGCACCAGAAGTCCCATTAACTTGAATCTACTGGGGACCAGATGAAAGGTGCAAAATAACAGGCGTTTAAGTATATCCAGTGTAAATTGATAGTGACACAAGTCCACAGGACACAGCATCAAGTTATCATGGGAAAGCTTATAATCATGGGGCTCCACTGTAATGTCATCTGTAGAACCACTTATTGTGTGCAAGCCAGCATGTCCATATAATTTTTTTTTTAAGTTATAGTTTTTATAATCATCCTTACCTTTGCTGTGGCAAAAGGGTCTCTCTGTTCAAACTCAATGTATTTATCGAGATTGAAGAATGTGTTATAGAATATATGGGCCATCTTGCATCGACGAAGATCACCGAGAGTTATCTTATCTGATGAAAATGAAAGAATTAATAAACAAAAATCATTAAAAGATTCAATAAATTTATTTTCAATTAAAAATCAATATTTACCTTGATGAGCTGGTTTTACCATGTCTA